CTTATTGACCATAGTTGGAACGGCCATTTCCAACTAAGGTTTTTAGGCAATTTTAGAATCTTGGAACGACCCGTTTCACTTTGGGAACGGCCCGTTCTAGAATAACCCAAATGGGCCTTTTTACTAATTTGGAATGGCCCGTTCCACTTTTGGAACAACCCGTTCTGCTACCTCAAAACAGTTTACTTTCATTGTTTGGAACGGGCCGTTCCACTTTTGGAACAGCCCATTCCGGCCTAAAAAAATAGAATTTATATAAAAATTTTCATAAATAATTTAAATTATTACAAACCTTTACAATATTCTATAAAACCCCTCTAATTAACTAAAATAACTATAAGAAAATAATACAAAAATAAATAATGATTAATATTGTATTAGTAGAAAATTCAGGGTGTTACATTTAATGTATGGACATTTTTAACTACCCGATACTATATGATTGTGACTAGCTGATTGCTCATTTATAACTAGTATATAGTATCAAATAATCATATTATAATTTATATATTTTTCATTGTAAAAAATAGATCTAATTTTTTTTAATTAGGCCAATTTTTCTAGATAAACCGACAAGGGTCAAGTTGGGTCAAAAAATTGTAGCAAAATATAAGTCAGGTCAACATAACCTAAAATAACATTTGACCTGCATAAGTTAGGGTAGCCCAACCCATTTGACACATCTAGTCATTACTAACTGGTAAACTTTCATTGGAATCTTCCCACACAATACAAAAGGTGGAGTCGGTTGCTATGAGCAGATGAAGCGACATAGTTGGTGAAGTTAGTGTCAAAAAGGTAATGCCAACTTTAACCAAACTCGCTCAACACATGTCACGTGGACCTAAGCTTCTTCGATTTGAGTTGGAGCTTCTCCTCCACCTATTCCAAAATCATCGATCCACCTGGTTGTGCAGTCCAAAATAGCAAGTTCCAATCATTAATTCTAATTGACACAAAATTTTTCAAACTCTTCTCAATGTTCTTAGAAATTATTCCGAGAATGTCCTTACAAAGGTGAAATGTCAGTCCTACCTCATAAAAGTGGTGGTCAAGTACATCATTAGAGTTAGGGAGAATCATCTGCACCACCGAGACGAGCTTGAAAATAAGTCACTCCACCGTGAGATCGGGGTCAACGTTGATTATCACTACAACGACATCATCAAACAATGCTTGCTCAAAAAGCGATTTGAGGTGGCTCTCTAACAGGCTGCAAAATGTTACTGTACCTATCAAAAGGATACACCGGTAATCTTCTTGTAGTCTGAGGGCCGAACAAGTACTCCGATCGAATATTCCGGTAAGCCGGGGGTGGAGATACCTGCAGAAGGCACTCCGATGCTCAAGTCAGAATAAGCACAAATATCGATGACAATTAATGCGACCCATGGTCTTCGGAGCTCGGGGGGCTAGTGTACTACCCGTACCGCAAAGTCGAGCTCCCAGCTCGGCATCACAGCGCATGACGACCTTGGATACGTGCTATGTGACGTCAGCTCGTCACTTAACCAGATCATAACTAATCTCAGGAGATCTCGGTCCAGACGAGATCCGCTACCTAATTAGATCACAACTGATCTCAGGCCCAAGGCCCAACGCAACCCTAATTCACACTAAGGTACGTGCATTACTTATACGAGACATACACTCATACAAACCCTAACTTTGACATCGGAGTCTCTTTTGCAGGTACCACCCCCATCTTGGAACACCAACGTACCAGTGAAGGAGGCTCACCGATCTTACTCGGCGGATCATCTCTACAGTAGATCTCCGGTAAGAACAAAACCCATCCATGTCCCCATCCTCGTACCCGTCAGGTATGTGATTTTCATCCCCATCCCCGTCCCCGTCGGGTATCTGGTATACCCGTACCCGTACCCGTACCCGTCAAATTTTTTTTATTTTTATTTTTATTAAAAATATAATATTTTTAAATTATTTTTTTAATTATATTATAATTATAATTAGGTTATTTTTCTATGTCATATTATAATAAATAATCACACATAAAAAAATACTAAAATTCTTTAATATAATTAAATTAAAAGTGGGTATTAAATTAAAAATGGAAACGGGGACGGGTACGGGTACGGGTACGGGGCGGGTAAGTACATACCCGTACTCGTACTCAATTTAAAATATCGGGTTTTACCCGTACCCGTACCCATACCCGGTCAAACCGGGTATTCCCCGTCAAAGTCGGGACGGGTTCGGGT